TAGTGAAGTTTCCCTAGCGTTGGTCAATGCTACTTTCCCAGTCACGAAAATAATTTTTAAAGTCCCCCACTAGCCAACTGAGCCTTTGGTCATTTGTGGAAAAGAAGGGGTTTAGGTTACTATTCCTTTTATTTCTACCCTCTACGAAAGATCTGACGTTTAAAATGTCAAAGAACTTGTTCATAATCTTGATAAATGATACAGTTTCCGTAATTTCTTCTCCGTATAAATCTTCTAATGCATAGGCTACACTGTCACTAAAGACCTGGGCTGCTAGGCTCACTTTCATGTATGAAAAGGCATTCGAGTCTACATGCTTCCTAGTTAATTTAGGGACAGGTGTATATAAACATGCTAAACTCACAATGATCTTCAAATAGTCTGACTACATGCATCCAAGAGATATCTTTTCCGTTTCTCCACATACGGCGTGTGTTTTTATGAGAAAAAGAATTACTGAAACAGTTTCTTGCTGTTTTAAGTAGGTGTGGTACATCCGAAATGAAATACACTTTTCTCGATGAATCAAATGGATTGATGGAGTAATGCACTATTTCAATTCCTGGAAATTTATGCATGTTAAAAAACTTTCTATTGGCACTTGCACCGTCACAAGTTAGGAAAAGTACCTTTAATTTCAAATGGATTTCGAGCAGGGAAATGGCAGTCCACAATATAGGGTAAAGGAAGTCAGCACTTATGCTTTGTGTGGCAAAAGCTGCTAGAGGAAACTTGAGTTTTATTATAAAAAGCGTTATTAAGGCTAACAGTTCATCGGCATTATTATTTTCGATATACTTTGATCTTAAAACCATACTACTTATAATATGCACTAACATAATTCGAAATAACGAAACAACGATGGTGACATGTAAAAAGTACGATGGAGAAAACACGAAATTATATCGGATTTTTTTACCATCGTGGTTTTGCTATTTCGACTTTTCACCATCCTACTTTCCACTTTTAACCGTCGTGGTTTGGTTATTTTCACTTTTGACTATGATCGTAATGTCGTGTTTTCGTTGTTTCGGGTTATGTGTGTGTTGCGATGGCCCTTACTGGACACCGTACGTTCCGCATCAAATTTTTTTTTTCTACTTATCTTAATATGAATTGTGTTTGTTTAATGAATACTATTTCTATAATGGTCCCCAACTTCAACTAATACTACTATTTGGTATGAATTCCAAACAAGACAAAATCGAATATATGGCTATTCCATCACCGACAAATCTAGCCTTACATCTAGATAACAGTTTGGGCGATAATTTGAAATGGGACTTATGCAAGCTCTTAATCTAGTTTCAAATTTGATAACACTAGAAAAGCACAGTTCACCGAGTCATAATTGATAAAAATATCTAGTATAGATAGACACATTCTTCGCGGAAACCAATTTACTTCCTAGTTAATTTTACAAAAGATTTCAGAGAAGAGAAAAGTAAGTTTTCTGAAAATGACATTTATTTTAAATTTTAAATTTTAGTTAATATATATACAGTTTAAACTTAAACATCATTATTATGATATAATAATTTGTTTTGTTTTTTTTCAGTATAGCATAGGAACGGTTAGTGCTTAGCCTTAGAAGTAAACAATTTTATTTCATTATCTTCGTGAGTTTATATATATCTAAAAAAAATAGATTATTATAATTGACTTAAACATAACCATTTTATTGAAATAGTTCTATTTTTCATTGTATTTTTATAATAATAATAATAATCGACGAAATATTCTCAAATTATAATTATGTAAACGGTTTTCAGGCCTCAGTGGAATGAAATTACTTTAACAAAAAGTCGACATTTTTAGATATTGCATGTAGGTTACCCGTTATAACTTTTATTTATATCTTATCTTACGGGTATATCACAAAGCTTAATCTACGGTTTTAAGTCCTCAGTGGTGTGGAGCTCGTAAACAAAATACCCGAGGTTTATAGATATTGTAGATCACATGGAGGAATCACGCCGTTCGTTACCCAAACAAACAAGATGGCGGATGCGGCCAAAAAGTAGGATTTTCCCTTTTTTCTCTGAAATTCGTGATGTTCATGTGTAAAGGTACATATAACAACCTTCTCCGCAATTTTCCTGGCACACAGAAATTTATTTCATGGTGTTTCGTCCCGTACTTCTTCTGAAATGCGCGTCACCAGATTCGAAGCGAGAGAATTTTCCACCGGTTTGATCGTGGTAACGTACGGCTTCTTCTCTAAAATTCACTGTTTCGTTTACATATATGTATATTTACTGAAACCACTGACATTAAAAAGTTGTAATATGTCGGCATCTAAGCATTCATGCTCATTCTGGCTAGAATAACCGCTGAAAATATTAAATCGGGGCATTTTCCGGAAATGAAAACGTATGGCGCACAAAATAACAATGATAACGTACGGTGCATTTTTGTCTGCTTAATTGATTTTCTATATAAGAGAAAAGTTATGTTAACCAGACATAAGAGAATGTGTAGAACGAAATAAAGAAACTGAATATTATTTAGTGTTTGCATAATATATGTCATGTGTTTTTGTAACGGATAGAAATATCCGATCCGAGGGCTCTTTCGCAATGGGCTGTAACGATGCTTGCTAACTTAAGCCCTTGTGCAGGTGCCAGTGGGATGGATATTAAAATCCGATAGGTAATCACGAGTGATATGCTTTCTTGCATATCATAGTCGAATATAGAGCAACTTTTCCACCTTTGGGGATCTTAAAGTTTCGTCAAAAGTGAAACTTGATCGCAAATTTCAAATATCTATGTATATGTTAGTGATCATCCGTACTGTTCTATAGAAATTATAGATTTTGACGGGAGCGATAGCGACAGAAGGATGTTTTATTTCTGTAGAACAGCTACGGATGAATACTAACATACTAAGTGTCAAGCTTTTTTGGCACTTTATTACGTCACTATGCTGTGCTATGAATTATAATCGACTATGAACGGAATTCAATAAAGTATCGTCTTTTGTTCTTCAATGAAAATTAACGCACATATTTTTTTAAGAAATACAGCGCTTTCATTGGGTGAGAAATAAATTTGGACACTACATAAACTTCTATTTTTCATAGTGCTTAATAGAACCGTGTTCGTAAAATAGACAAGTAAAGTGACGAAAGAAAGTAAATATTAATGAAGCCAAATAAAGCTTGACACTAAGTATGTTAGTATTCATCCGTAGCTGTTCTACGGAAATAAGAAACATTCTCCGGCCGCTATCGCTCCTGTCAAAGTTTCTAAATTCTGTAGAACAACACAGATGAACACTAACTGATTACTACGCTACTATGATAATAGTGTTTACGAAGTATATGTTACTAACATATACTTCGTACACACTATTATCATAGTAGCGTAGTAATTTTTACAGCTGTTCTTTCATAAAGATAATGACGTCATCTGAGCGCATTCATGAGCGGTCTAGCTTTAATGATTTCAGACGGGTTCTCGGACATGGATAAAACATCGAAATCCAAATCCGATTTGAAACTTTATCATGGTCGGTAAAATGTTTACCGCAAATTTCAATGACACTCTTTTATTGCTGATACCTGCAATACTATTTTGTAAGAGATTGATTGTTTTTGTTGGGGCGTTTGCGAGAAAAAAAACGCCAAAATATGATAGGCAAATTTATGAATTGGATGTAATTGTTTTGATCAAATCAATTATAATAAAAAACTGTACGGATATGTCGTGCAAATATATCTGACGTCATAGTGACACAACGTCACGCTACGCTAATAGAAAACGTTTCGTCAAATAAACTGGAAATTTCTTATTTAATAAATTTATTGAACTTTTTCGCAAAACATTATTTTCTAACTAATTCAATAAATTCAATATAGAACCTATACTCATTCATTATTCTCTTTTATGAATTTTCTTTTAATGAGCGACCAGATTGTATAAACACAGGCTCATCTCATCTGGGTGTAAGCTAGTCGCAATCACTTTTCGTTTTGTTTATGTTTGACGTGGTTCAAATATTAAGATTTTCTTATCAGTAATTTGTTAAAGTAATTTTGGAAAAGAAAATATATCAAGTCTTCCGTACCATTTTAACATTTTTGCTCTGGTGAATGCATTTCTTCTTTCTGATAAGGGGATAAGACCATAATTATCGCACAGCACTGGCGAAATTCAATGTGAAGACAACAATACACAAATCTTTCCATTCTGCATTTTATACAAAAATATTCTCAAACTATAAACGTGTGTTTTACTTGGTATATTTACAACGAATATCTATTATGCCACCAGCTAGAAAGATATTGATATCCGATGGTGCAGCATTGTTCAATAATTTATTTCTGAGATGACAAATATCTATCATTTCCTACATACAAATAATTTATTATCAGCTGACTCGACAAATAGAAATCCACCAAGTAAAAAAATGCGCCGTACGTTATCATTAATATTTTATGCGCCATACGTTATCATTTCCGGAAAATGCCCCGATATTAATATTTACACCAGTAAATCTAGCCAAAATGGGCATGAATGATTACTTGACAACATATTACAACTTTTTAAAGTCAGTGGTTTCAGTTAATATACATATATGTAAAAGAAACAGCGAATTTGAGTGAAGAAGTCGTACGTTACCACGATCAAACCGGTGGAAAATTCTCTCGCTTCGAATCTGGTGACGCACATTTCAGAAGAAGTACGGGACAAAACACCATGAAATAAATGTCTGTGTGCCAGGAAAATTGTGGAGAAGGTTGTTATATGTACCTTTACACAAGAACATCATGAATTTCAGAGAAAAAAGGGAAAATCCTACTTTTTGGCCGCATCCGCCATCTTGTTTGTTTGGGTAACGAACGGCGTGATTCCTCCCCGTGAGATATTGCATGTAGGTTACCCGTTATAACTATTATTTTTGTTTGTTTTACTATATCTTATCTCAGATTTAATCACAAAGCTTAATCTTTGACTTGTACCATTAAATATATGAATAAAATTTCATATGCATATTTTAGCGCAGATGAACCTATAGTACATCCTTAAGTTTTTAAATATGACAACAAAGGACAACAGAAAAAATATCATTGTCCGGTCATATTGTTAATATGCTGCATGTGTCAACAGGTTCTAATCTGAAATAAAAAGCGGGAGTAAATTCCATCGGAAATAACGAACGTAGCATTCCGTGCAAGTCTTGCAAGAACATAGTTACTCGGATGTCATGGTAAGCACATTTTATGCTTTATTTGTGAATTTTAATTGTTAAGTTTTTATTTATTATGCTATTTAATATAATTTTTATTTCATTACATTCCACCGATTTTTCTGTGATGTTTAGATAGCCAATGGCGTTAAGGTTTTGTTTTTAGCTTTTGTAATAAAAAGTTTAATCTGTTAAAACTGTGTTTCTGTCGTTAAGATTAAAATGATCAAACATTGCCACGAAAATATTTTAAATCTAGATGATTAGTGATTACATGATTCAAAATGGCCGAAAGGATATTTATCACAATCAAACCAATTCGTATCAAAACACTAAATAAATAATAGATGATGAAAAAAATTTGTAAGTTAATCTTAACTGCTTATTGTAGAGACACAAATACATTTATAACAAAGCATTGTCCTCCCGACAAAACCACTCTTACATATACGACCTATTTTCAGAAGGACGAATATTTTCCCTCTAGTTCCAATAGACCTTTTAAAATGCTATTTTTGTGTAAATCTGCAATAATGGTACTAATTGAATGTAACCATAAAGTGCAATTATTTTCGTCTAATTTTCGCATGTGATTGCCATTATTATACACAATTGGGCAGTGTATTTATAATGACTTGACTGTATTGTTTTAGGATGGATTTATTATTATCTTCAAGAATATTTGTTTGGCTATCGAGTATAAAAGATCTGGTAAAATGTTCCTTTATAAACTTCTCAAGCAAAACAGGAAGTATTTTAATTCATTATATCGATTTTGATTTGTTTCCGTCGAATAGTTCAAACTATTTACTGCAGTTTGCCTCGTTGACACTTAATTTTGCAACGGATCTGTTCAATTTGCGACAATACCGAATATTTTGAAATCCGTTGATATTTGACAATATTGAGTTTGCTAAATTTTGCAGAAACAGCTTGTATCAACGTGACTCAAATCACCCATGCATCCACTGAACTTCTGTTGGATAATCTTTACTTTACATGTTCTTTATTTTAGAAGTTTCTTAACTTTCATTTCTTAACAATTCTTTTCTCTTTAAAAGTAAAGTAAAAGAATCAAATAATTTTTTCAGGCCGGTAATTCATTATTAGTGGCAGCAATAGATTTTGGAACGACCTATTCAGGCTGGGCGTTTTCTTTTAAGCATGAGTTTGAAAGAGATGCCACCAAAGTGTCAGCAAAAAACTGGACAGGTGGACAACTTGTTTCCCTAAAAGGTGAGATTTGTCTTTCTACAATAGAAATAAAATTTTAAACAAATTCAATCATAAGACATATTGTAAATTTTACATCATTTTCTAGGGGAAAAAAAGAAAAGAAATTTTCAATGATGCTATTACAAAATCTTACAATGTAGACGTAAGTTTTCTGATGCATGCAAAACAACCTCATGATCACCAGAGTGATTAATTTGTATAATATAAGAGAACATGTCTTTTAAACAAAACTAGAAATATGAACCACTGATCGAACTGTTTCAGGGCCAACATGTGCTTTAATAGAACCTGATGGTGTAACACTTCACAGTTTTGGATATGAAGCTGAAAGTAAATATGCTGACCTCGCGTGTGATGGCGAGCATGGCGGGTGGTATTTTTTCAAGAGATTTAAAATGAATCTTTTTGGACAGGTAATATACTTTCATATCAAAAGTTGGCGTCCATCCTTTTATATATATCTATTTTCGCATAAAACGTTTCGAAAGTAGACTATTATAAGTTGTAGAATAAGTATGCAGAAAGTGTTGTAAATTCTACATCAAAGGTATTCGTTTTAAGACAATATCATCAGATAGGTGGTTGGCTTATAGGTTCATGCAATGTTTCCTTACAGGATAACCTTTATTTTGTTGGTGCGATGTAAACGCCATCCCTCTTTAAAAAAAGAATGAAAACAGTCTGTACACGGGTAATTTCAATTTCGTAGTTCCGACACTTTAATCACAAGCATTTGATTCACACCCGTAGATCCAGTTAAAAATTCTCATTCAGTAGATGAACATACAAAGGCATGATTCTTAAATCATATGCGTATGACACAGTGCAACATTATTTGGCCTATTTTCGTATCAGGGATTTGGAAGAAATCTTATGTTAGAAGACGCAAGCGGAAGGAAGAAGTTGTTAGCCAAAACAGTATTTTCTCTGTCAATTAAATATCTAAAAGACGACCTCATCAAGTTGTCGGAATCCCGCATTGCTGGTGGGGGTCTTCAAGATAAGGACATTCACTGGGTCCTCACAGTACCCGCTATCTGGAATGATGCTGCCAAACAGTTCATGAGAGAAGCTGCTCAGCAGGTCAAGTATTACTTTGATGTTTATGTCGCACTTGCACTATGAGTTGAAATCAATCATTGAACTTTAAATTTGTCCCTTTGCCAATTGAACTTATGTGTTTGCATTAATTATTACAACTGATACTGATTCATGCACTTGGAATTATGTAACGTTTGAATAACATTCACATTGATGCTAATTTTGAATTAAATTTAATGCAGGGATATTATTTTGACGGTTATTGATTCAGTGAATGGACAATACCAAAGCCTCTTCAATTCATATATCACAGGCACAAGTACATATTACAGCATATTTGTTTACAGAAGTTATACAAAGTTTTAATAAAGTGGGTGTATGAAGGTATAAGTTATTGAAACCAGAATTGATTAGTTCATAAAGAATTCTTACATCCTCAACGAAACTGTTAATAATATTTCTGTTCTCTTTTTGTTAGCTAAATGCTAAATATGTCATCATTATTAAGAAACATAATGATATGAGATTTTGATTATTTCCTTGTAATTTTGAAATGTATCATGTGAAACTATAACAACGAATGCATTATCTTAAATATCTGTTAAACATTAACCCACTGTTTCATGTTGGCAAAATATATATTCCATGCTGTCATAATATTTATCTTTTTAAGTTTCATTTTACTTTTCAATTTTATCCAAAGGCTGGTATATCCGAAGACATGCTTACTATTGCATTGGAACCGGAAGCTGCAAGTTTATATTGCCGCCATCTACCTGTGGAAAAATGTGGAAGTAGTAAAACTTCGTTGGCGACATTCGGGCCTGGTAAACGGTATCTGGTTCTTGATGCAGGAGGTATCTTTATATTATGATATATTTTTCTTCCTTATGTTGTACTTCGTAACATTTCCCTTTTGTAAGATGTATAAATCTTAATCTTGTACTACGAGTATTAATGCATATAACAGACCATACGTGAATATTATTATTTCTATGTATGTACAAAAACAGCTACAATTTAAAACTAATGCCAATATGCGATGAATCGTCTAATGATCAAATATTGTAGAGAATGATTGAATCTTTGTGCACCATATAAATTCTATTGACACTAGAATAACACATTGCAGTGACTTTCTCTCAAATGTGTAGCACAGTTAAGGCTTTGTTCGGAATGATCATTTTCATAACGCTTTTTAAAACCCATTTGCCCTATTTTAATTAACTATTACAGGTGGAACAGTGGACATCACTGTTCACGAGGTGATGAGCGGTGGTCATCTTAAAGAATTGGATAAAGCCAGCGGAGGAGCATGGGGAGGGGTACAAGTTGACGACGCTTTCTTCCGGTTTTTGAATGAAATTGCAGGACCAGGTAACAAATTATATTGCATAAAAAAGAAACAAATTAATTTGTCGGTTAATATGCTTTAAACATTATATGATAATTACATTGTATATTCATGTTCTATATTATTTTGATACGGATGAGAAAATAAAGCAAATGTAATTTATCTTATTTTTTTATTTTTTCAATCAATGCTTTTCTCCGCTTTTGTAACATCTGATATCGTATATTGATTAAAACGAGGGATATGTTTAAAATATCAGCGTTTTAATGTTAACTGAAGAAAACGGCTTCAAAGATCTAAATTTTATGGTTATTACATAAGCTTAGCTTAGGAAAACTTAAAAAAACGCTAACATAATAAAAGTTTCTGTAGTTCATTGTTACATATTCTATTATAATTATTTTAAAACATCTAGGTGCCGATGTGATGCCAATGTTCAGAGACAAAAACATGGAAGACTACCTTGAATTGTTTAGGGACTTTGAAGTTAAGAAGCGTGAAATTGGACCGAAGAAAGACACAAAAATTACTTTCAGAATACCTGCAGCCCTATCTGACACTGTAATGGAAATGAGGGACGAACCGTTACAGCACGTGATAAAGAAGACAGAGTTTTCAAGCAAGGTAAACAGATGCTTAATATAATTGTGTATATAGCACATTCACTAATTTAAAAATGAAAAATAACTAACAAAATTGTAAGGCACTAAAAATTTGAAGGTTATGCAAGGCTGGTATCTGACTTTTAATATGAATGTCTGTTATTTAGTTAGTATTTAGATTTACACATGTTTTTTTTAAAATTTATTATGCAATCAGTTCTTTCTCGCCAACAGGTCAAATTGATGGGAGATAAATTGCGAGTAGACGCAGCTATTGTAAAAGGCTTTTTTGAACCTTCCATTGAAAGCATTATTGAGCATGTGAAAGGTTTGCTACAGAGCAGCAGCAATAAAGGAGTTGAGGCTATAGTAATGGTGGGTGGATTTTCGGAATCACCAATGCTGCAAGAGACAGTGAGAAGTCGCTTTCCTGACTTGAGAATTATAGTTCCAGACGAAGCTGGGCTAGCAGTTCTCAAAGGAGCTGTTATCTATGGTCATAGTCCAACAACTATATCACAAAGAGTCAGCAAATACACATACGGAACTAATGTCCAAGTAGCTTTTGATGCAGATAAGCATCCATTAGAGAGAATGAAACAGACTGATACTGGAGTCAAATGTAGAAATGTATTCTCGAAATAAACAGAAGCTGGGGGAGATATTGGAAAATTTTGGCCCCAAGGGGCAAAACCCCAAAAAAACATATACAACCATAATTTTTAAAGACAAACATTTGGGGTTGGGGGGAAAGGGGTATTTTTTGGGCCCATGGACAAAAAATCCAAGGGGGTTTTTAAAAATAGTCGGTTTTCTAAAAAAATTTGGGAAACCTTTTGTGTAAACCTGTTTCTCCCTTGGGAAAGTGGTGCCGGACGAGAAGTTACAGTTAAAATGATATTTGGAGGAACTGAAATTGACGTTGAATGTACAGAAAAGGCAACAGAAAAGATCACACACCTAAAAGTAGATTTTCTGTCATAGATGCTGACCTTCAATTTGTTGATAATTGCAGGATAATTAAAGACCATTTACATAAATAAGAACTATGTACTATATGGTGAAATTGTACGGCGTTACACAAATGATTCCACAATCTGATTAAAAACAGTACGCTTCATGTACACTTAAGAAGATCCGAACTTTAGTTTATAACTCAGTGACCGATTGAAACCAGTTGCTAGGGTTTATTGAATACTAGTATACTAGCTCAACATCAAGAATATAAAATGAATCATTATAAAGTGACAAACTATAATAATACGTATCTTGATACTTTTATGTTTGAACATGTTATGTACCCTGTACACATTCATATGTTATTATACATTGTATTTTTTCTATAAATATTCTAATTTTGTGTATATATGTGATCCTTATATTTATCAAAATATGTTTTAATCAAAACCCATAATGTGAATGAAGTGATTATATAATTATTTGATTATATAATAAATTTCATGATTCAGATTATGATAGTTATGAGAAAAAGAGCTTTGTTCATGAAATATTATCAATTCAAATGATGAAAAAATGTTTGATATCCGAATAGTGATTGCTTGCTTGTATTATGTCATGAGTGTTATTGTTTTAACTGTCAGAAGTTTGATGATAGTTGTTAATTTTTATATAAACTTTTCTTACTCTTTTAATAATAAACCAGCATTAAAAATAAAATTTTAAAACATAGATTTGGCATCATGTGATTTTTATTTCAAAAAATTAATTTAAAGTGTGAAACCGGGGGAAAATATTACAACCCTTGAAACACTCCTAACTAAAAATTAGCAGAATAGAAAATTAACAAAACTTAGCCAAACCCTTAAATTTAGTTTTAAAGTAGAATTACGTACGTCATAATTATAGTAGAGCTATACTTTTCTAACTAATGTAGCACAAGAGAATAATAGCACAAAGTATAGTGACAGTAGTACAACTTAACAACTTGTTTATTATAAAACTTTAAAGAGGCATTATGCTAATTTTTTTTCGCTGTCAAGTTGAGTTGAATTAGTAATATTTTTCAAGAAATTATAATCATGGGTAATGACATTTAACAGGGGAAGTAAAATTGGTCATTATTCTTTTATGAAAAGAAACAGCACTTTGAAAATGTGGGCAGCTTTAAAGCCAAAGCTACACTTTGGAATAAAGTCAAGTTTAACATGATTAACAGGAAGTTTAAATCTCAGTTCTGCACTGAAAAGTACCTTACGTCTAAGTTGCCATTTATGTATAGATCAGCCTTTACAAAATTCAGATGTGGTGTAGCACCACTAAGAATAGAAACAGGTCGTTATGAAAATATTGATGTAATGAATAGAAAATGCTTTAACTGTCCGGACACTATAGAAGATGAGAAACATGTATTACTTTACTGTCCATTATATAGTGATATAAGGAAAGAGTTGCTCTCTGCGTTAGATGATGTATTAAGAAATAGAGATATTATATCTAAAAAGGGAACGAAGATGTGTAATTAATTGCCAATCAATTTAAATAAAAAATGGACTCTCATTCCCTTCTTTTGTGTGCAGATTTCACACCTTTTCTTAATCGGTTAAAAGCAAATAATCATAGTATAACTAGAACGTTAACATAATCAAAAGTTTACTTTATATTTCGCATTAAATCGGTTACTAATGTAACAGAAGTGAATAACACAAGGATGATTTAAATTATTTTCCCCACCCATCTATGCTATTGATCGAGAATATTTTTCACTACCAATTTCTTACCTTATCTTATCCTTACTGACGTCTATAACGGGTCTGGTTACATGAAGAAACCACCTAACGATAGTTTTATCGTAAAATTGTTTTAAAGAATCAATTTATTTTTATAAATTTTCAAGATACAAGTATTTGTCTATCGATAAACATCGCTTCTGGAATACAATATGGCGTCGATTTTCACGTCAAGCTGGAAGTCTCGGAAAATCCCGGGGAACGCGAGAATTCGCAAGAAAGGTAAATAAGGAAAGAAGAAGCTGCCAATCTCTGTATTTATATGTAATCTGGTCTCAACCCATTTTCAAATTGGGTCGCAAGAAGTTACATTAAGAATTTTGCAAAAATTGCAGTATATAAACAAGGGACGCAAAGTCACTAATGGTGGCTGTTTTTGTGCATTCGGTGTTTTTCGCCCCGGCCCGCCAAAGCGAAAAATCGAGAATGAACAAATTAAAATGGCGGTTGGCGCTGAGCGAAAATACGCTTATTAGCGGGGGCGCGGGGCGAAATTTAAGAAATAAAACGGCGGGAGTGCGGAACGTAAACTCGCTAATTAGCACCCCCGCTAATAGGCGTGTTTTTGCCCCGCGCCCAGCCATTTTAACTTGTTAATTCTCGACTCTTCGCTTGGCGGGGTCAGAGGACAAAATCACTCTAATTAGCGGAGGCGCACGGCGAAGTTTTATTAATTAAATCTCGCCCCGCGCCAACGCAAATTAGCGTGTTTTCGGCCTGCGACATCGCTGTTTTATTTCTTAAATCTCACGCTTATTTGAGTGTTCTCGCTCTGCGCTTCCGATTATTTTAAACCTTGTTTAATTTTTTTTTTATTTTTTTGTTAATTTTCGCTTTGTTTTCGACTTTTTCTATTTTCGACTTTTTTTTTCGGCTTTGCGGGGGGGTCGCCGGGCGAAAAATGAAGGCAAAAATCAGGGCCAATTTTCCAACGGGAACTGGTTTTATTTCTTTTAAATCCACGCTTATTTGGTGTTTTCTGGCTCTTGGGCCCCCGATTTTTTAACTTGTTAAATTTTGAATTTTTCGCTTTGGGGGGGCGGGTCGCCCCGGGCGAAAAACATAAATGGGCAAAAATCAGCCAAAATTCCAACGAACTGGTTCCGACAAAAACATTTTAGATATGCTTTTAATTGGTCTTAGAGCTATCGTCAAGATTCAGATATTTTAAGACCAATCGGAATATTTATAGGGGAAAACGATTTTTCAAATATAAGCTATAGTGCAATATTTCAGAAGAAAACCAAAATGGCGGCTTGGATTGTAAGTAATTCTGAGACACAAAGCCTTCGAGAAAAGTTTAACTCTAGTCTAATACGAGAATCTGTGTGCAGGTCGAAATTTTTGGAAGCTGCTCACAGACGGGACAGCAGGGAAAAGCCGACTATATCATCAATGAGATTACGTCACCCTACTATACCCTGTATGGTATTCGTATTGTGAGAGGCGGGCTCAACTATTTCAATTTTTTTCGATAAGTCGACGTTCATCGACACTTCGGACTTTGGTTCCGTACAGCACTTAGCGAGTTTTTGAAAGAGGACGGAGGCAATGAAAAGGCTTACACTCGGTACCTGCTTAGTAAGGAGAGCTTCACGCTTGGGTTGAATCAATGGGATACCATGCAGTATTCCAGCATACCATTAAGTTTATGCCGAACTTATTAATGATGATTAATTTCGAAATATAGAAATATAGAGGCGTTTGTGTCGAACGATACTTGTACTAGACCAAATGATTACTATATAAAAGATTTATTTCCAATACCATGCAATAAGATATCTTTCTTTATGTTTATCCATCTATCAAAATGCAATTGTGATTTTTATCACATGACTAAAGAAAAATAAAACAATGATGCCCCATGTCATTTTCATACAAGTTGGACAAGTTTCTTATAAAACATCATGCAACTTTTCAAAAGTAAGTTATTTTTACATTTAAGACGTGACAATTTCTTTTTCGATTTTAACCCAATGCACGAGCTATCATCATCTTTTATAAAAATTATTTTCAACAAGCCGCATTAGGAATAAAAACATCCTAATTGTAAAATTATAAGTCTACCAAAACAAGAACAACATAATTATTTGAGTGAAAACTCTCTATATTTTATAGAACCCTCTCTGTAATTCCAAATTAAACACACAAAAAATTGAGAAAAAAATAAATATCCACCATTATGTGTCTTAATGTACTAATCTAATCGGACTGTTTCGGTCTTTTCCGTCCTTACTTCTGCAAATTATGGCGGAAAATTATTGAAGTATATCATCGGTGGTGTAGGATTAACCAGTGACAATTAAACACTCGCTTTTGTTTATAACAGTCTACAAAATGGACACCTTATTGTTTTTTAAACTAATTATGAATTCCATTGAAATCGATTGTAATTATTTGTAAACAAAAAGATTGTATTAACTTACAGTCTTGAATTACATGTAAAATTTAAGAGGTATGTTTTCCATGATAAAAAAATTACCATGGATAGAATTGTTATATCGATGTCTTATTCGATTTTAAAGAAAAAATATTTACGATACATATGCGTCCTATTTTTCGGAGTATTTACGTTGCAGGTGATGTTGTTCTATAAACAACATCTCGTCAAAAATTCAGATAAAACATTGTTCATGTATAACATGTCTAAATTTATCACCAGGTTGGACATACCTATCGATTTTACAGTGAACGATATTCTTGATCACATGACGCATGTGGAACGACATGGAGATTTTGTGAACAGTAATTTTACAGACACACTTCCAGACTATGTGAAGAACTTCACGCAACAGAAACGTAGAAAAGAGCTCTTGTCGGTAATTGTTGTGCCTCATTCACACAATGATCCCGGTTATAAGAAGACGTTCTCGGAGTATTTTCATGAATCAACAAGCAACATTT